CTGAATGAAAACTTCAGGGTTTGGAAACAGCAGCGTGTGGATTGTTTTGCTTGTTGTACCACTGCCACAGGTACAGTCTTCTGGCAGATGTCTCAATTACCAGGAGGGCAAGTGTGGAGTTTTGTTTTTTTTCTTTTAAGTATTATCTTAGAGTTCTGAGGAGCATCTGCTTTCTCCCATCTTATGTGGTATGGGAACCAGACATTGGTATTTGATAATTGGGCTTCCCAGCCATCTGCTAGGACTTTGACTTGTTTCTGGCAGCAAATACACCTTGTAGCAGCCTCTCCCATCCTGGGTGCCAAAAAACTTCCCCCCACAACTGCAGTGTAACTCCCCCTGATGATGACACTGGGCAGTTGGCACAGGCCGGGGGTTGCTGGAGGTAAGGACTGCAAAGCTTGAGCCTTGTGAAGGATGAGGTGTAGCTAAAGAGTGATCCAGGTCTCGTGGATGTGTACATCCACACAAGGGTCTTTTCATCCCTGCCAGCATGCTGGCTCAACATTGGTGCTGGCTTCAGAGTGCAGTGTCCATGGAAAAACCAGGTATACTGGTACAGAAAAGCAAGATTGGTTTTCCCTTGTTTCTCTGTGGCTTTATTTTGCCCTTCAACCATCTGCCCACACAGGCAACTGTTACAGGGGGAGGAGTAGTGGTGTTTGTCACGTTCAAAAGCGATAAATACATTTTCTTTTACTGAGATGATACTCCACTAAGCAGAGTAGCAGTTTAAACTTTGAATTCTGCAATAATAAAATTACATTTTTCTTACTATAGATAACATCGCCTCAGAACTGGAGAATTTTATGGGTCTGATCGAGACAGTAACGGGGTATGTGAAGATTCGTCATTCCCATGCCTTAGTGTCCCTCTCTTTCTTGAAGAACCTGCGGTATATTCTGGGAGAGGAACAGGTGGATGGGTAAGTGTTCAGATATTTGTAGATGCAATTTCACTTTAATAGAAAGCCTCAGAGAATAAGTCCCCTAATAAACATTCATGTACCATTTATAGAATCTTCTCTTCCACTAATATGTAGCATTTTTATCCTAATGAACCTGATTGCACAGTCACTGCTCATTTGAATTACTATCCAAATCAGCATATTAAATTGAGTATATGAAAAGTATTTTTATGGTAACTTTGCTGTTGCTTTTCACTTCACATTGATAAAGTGTCTTAAACTGGGTGGTTTTTTGCTCTGTTTGAGGAAAGTGCATTGTCAGAAACAGCTGGACTTCCTTACAGTTCTTTACTGTTGGCTTTTAGCAGAGTTGTATGGAGAATGCGGGCTGAAAGGAGATGTGAACTTTACTAACCAGGGAGTGCAACTGGAAGGGACCCAACTAGTATGAAATAGGTTGCAAATTGCAATTGTTTGTAACTCCTTGAAATGCTAACAGTAAATGAATTCTCTATTGAGCAGGAAGAAGACTGTTTGCGAAAAGTAAATGTTTGCTGTGGGTTATATTGCTTCTGTAATTACACAACGTGTGATAATTTTTGCTGTACGTAACTCCTGTTTTCCTGTGATGGTAAGAGGTAGTTGAGACAGAAATTTTTATCTCCATAGAACTTGCAGTGCGGAGGTGTGGTGATGGTCCTTCACGTAACTGCCTTGCTCTTTCTCTTCCTCAATCACGTAGTGATCCCAAGTTTAAACCAGTGTTCTCTGGGAGAAATAAGTCTCCGTCAGTACTGACAGAACTATTAAATGAAGCATTTTGGGAAATCATACAAGAAAAGGTGGTGGGAGGGTCATGGGAAAGGTTGCTTGTATCTGATTTATCTGCCCCTGACAGGATAAAGTTACAGCATGAGGGATTCTTCATAACCTCCCTCTTTCTCCAAGGCTAGTTCTTTGGTCAGCCTTAAATTCTTAAAATTCCACCGTCTGACAGAGTGAGTTAAAGGGCCGCTCTTGATCCTGCGCTTGAAAGGCGCGCTGTCTTTTTCAGTAAGTACGTTGGCTCTACGGAAAAGCTTGTTTCTAGTTTCAAATCCTAGAGGCTTCTCACTCTGCCGAGCACAAGGCTCCTCCAGCCCACTTAGGATGTGGCGTGCGCTCACAGATACTCCAATTATTGATTTGTCTTTTCTTCTCTCTGCGTCTTTCCCTTACTCTCTTCAAATTTGAGCTTAGCTTTGTGTTTTAAGTAGTAATTGTGTTTGTGGTACCTTGCGTGTCAGCAAGCAGAGCTGATATGAAGGGAAATGGCAGGTTTTAAAATCTGATTCTGAAATTGAGAAGCAAATAGGTGCAGCTTTGAAGGGGAAAACAGGACTGAGTGGGAAGGCAAAATAGCTCTATAGTAAAATATAAAATAGCTCTATGCTAAAATTCACTCCTAGTAGGAAATGTGGGTCAGGGCATTCTCTTTGCTTGGGAAAGGCCTAGTGTAATTTAGGCATCACCACAGTCCAAATAACGTTTCCAGAAATGCTTAGATGCAGGTAGGCACCTGGCAAGGAAGGGCTGAGCTTGAACAATTACTTGGGCGGGGAGTGGGGGTCTTAAGCTGGGAAGCCCTGGGCTGCTGTAATAATAGCTGATGATGCCAGCGTTGCCTTGGGAGGTGAGAGAGAGGCTAACGTCAGATCTGTTCTGGTAGTTGTTCATTATACAACTTGACTCCACCACAACCATTCCTTTTTTTTTTTTTTTCTTTGCTGAGCAGGACTAACAAAAGTGCTTCAGTATTTATTTCTTCCTTCTACAGTTGCTGGGGCTTGCCTTTGTTATCAGAGAAGATGGAAAATTTAGAGAGACTTTGCTTCTGTTTGTTTTCAGAGTGTTCATTTCCTCTTTTGAACACCATGCCTGTAGTGAACGCGCCTGCATGGCAAGGAAAAAATACCTCTTTCTAAATAGGGAAGCTGAGATGGAGATGTGCTGGAGGGATCTCAGTGTCTGTCGCAGGATTTTGATTCCTCGTCTGGCGTTCCCTCTGCTGGGGTGCTGCTGTGTGTTCATTGCTGTCATTGACTGTAGATGCCGTGTTGATGGATGGCATGTGGACAGCACCTCCCAAAGCACCTCCAGGTTGGGTACCTGGAAAATGAGCAGTTTGTAGCCTTCAGAAGCAAGCAAGAAGATAGTGACCGAGGAAGAGTTCCTGCTGTGGCACTGACCGGCTGCTGATGTTGTGTTTCAATTTTTGCAGCAAACTGGGGACGCTCTCCATAAAAGCAAAACACACTCTCCTGTTTTCTACATCATTTTGAAGCAGAGGCATCAGTAGCTGACAGGCTTGTTGGAAGGTGTGAACAGGATCTCTAGCTGTTATATGGCTCCTCAGTGAAAACTTTACGGTTTGTTTTCCTGGGATCATTATTGTCAGGTTGTGGTGAATTCAGACAGTCAGCACGATAACAGCAAGGCTGCTTCTAGCCACGGTGCTTCCAACAAAGCAGTCACCCTGTGCATGAGAGTGTTTAGGAATGAATAACGCCCTCCAGGCTGAGGGTAAACAGGGATGGTGAGCATGTCTCTCTACGCACTGCCCTGTGGCAGAATGCTCCTTGGCGTTGTTTTTGTTTAAGAGGAGTCTAAAGACAATGTTTCTCAGCCATCCACGTGTAAGTGAAGTTTGAAAAAGTGAGTTGAGGAGTTTGCACGCTGAGGAGTGAGGATGAATTTGTGGAGGATTTTAATGACTGGACAAGAAAACACTGGACTTCAGTATTATTAAGGTACATCCAAATCCACGGGTTAGTGTAAAAGGCTCTAGTTTCTTGCCTGTGTATTTGCCTGTGGAGATGCATTTCTTGGCCAAAATCTGCTGTTTCTAAGTTGTTCACAGTTTATGTTAGCAATGTGTGTGTAAGTATTTATTAGAGTCAGATAATCTGGTAATAACCTTGGTGCTTCTGTTTGAAGTACTGATGGGCAAACACAAGCAAAACAAAGTACCAGCATTATTAAAACATTAGCAATGTTTTGGAAATTTGCATGCTGAAGAACAAACCTATTTAAAGAGAGACCATCAGCTGGAGCATTTTGTTCAAGTATTGTTCTCCGTATTGTTCTCTGTTGTGGTGTTGTACTGGATATGTTTGACTGATCAGGGTCACGTTGTGATACAGGTGTAGAACACGTAGCATGTTAATAGACAGTCTCTAGCCAACATGTGGCATGTTTTGTATATGTAAAACAATAAGGGTTTTTCTTTTCTCCTGTCTCTTACTGGTTGATGTCCTATCTATATGGTCTAGTAGGATTTTCTGTCTTCCTTGTCTTTGTTGCACCAAGAGATGAACATTTTCTAATCCGTATGTTCTGCAGGGTTGCTCGTCTTGTCCCAGGACTCGAGCCTCTGCTGCCTGATCATCTTCTGTAGCCAGCTCATCCACCACTCTTACTCACAGTCCTCTGCCAGTTCTCATTCCCTTTTTGGTCCAACTCGCTTGCCTTACTGGATCGTGTGTTGCTGATTGAAAGTGTGTTGAAATGTTTTCATCACCTACACCTCCTTTTGGTTTGGATCTCATGTTCTGCCTCATAGTTTTACGATGGGTGAATGTGCACAGATGTAGCATTGCGTGCAGATTCAGCATGAAGAGGTTTTTAATGTATGTAGTCAATAATTAAGTGACTGTGGGTGCTCTGCAGTTGAGGACACACAACATGTTGTGGGAATTGTCTCCTGTAAGTGTGCGTGGGTTCTGCAGGTCGCCTTGAGGCTTTTTATGCCAAGCCAGAGACCAGATGTGCTTCCTGCTCCTGTTGAGAGATGTAGCCTGTCCTTCAGGCCATAATCTCCAGTCATTCCCTTAGTTACTGTCTCCGGGGTTTGATTGGCAATGCTTTGTTTTCCTACAGTGAATCTTTTATTCTTTCCATGCTATCTTCCTTCGCATCCTGATTTTTTCCACAGCTGTTAGAGCCAACGTCTGATATAATCGTTATTTATAACTTTATTTATAACCTAAGCCCTAAGTGCACTCTGGTTGGCCTCTGCTCCACCTTTCAAGCCATGCAGAACTGCCCCTCTCCTGTCACTGAGACTGTATATAGCCCTCCAACTGTGGTTCCCCTGCTGCTTTCAGCGGTGCTAGAATAACTTCCACTAACTTATCCCTTGCCTCAGAGGGCTGCTGAAACTCATACCAATGGCTTTAACGTCTGAGCCACAGTAACTCCCAGTTCAGGCCCAGTCGCTGTGCAGTTGTGTAAAGCACCAGTGTGGGTTTGATTTGCCTCATTTATTTGTACTCTTGAAAGCGTAGCCACGTTGCTTTAATACGAGAATCATCTCTAGTGTCTAAAGCATAATTGCTGCAGTTGTGAGCAGGAGACAGGCTAGGCTGTTATTAAATATTTAAGATGGTTTCTGTAGTCAGGGAGCCACACCTCTGTTTATTGTGCTCGGTCTGAGTCCAGCTTTTTGGGTCTTTCCTGAAAAGCTTAGTTGCCATCACTTAATCATGCAGCTAATTACAGCGAAATGTCATCTTTTCAGCAGTGCATAGCGAGCTGCAGGGATTTTAGTCATCTGTAGCAGAGTAATATGTATCTCAGACACAGTTTTTGGTGATGTCTGTCAAATCCCACATGCGGTTTAGGATCCTTGTTCTCTCCTGGCAAGGTGCATTAAAAGCACAAACATGTTTGTACTCCCTTGTCAGCTGAACGCATTCTTTTCAGCATCCATCTGAAGTGGTACAAGTATATTGAATTCATTAGCGATCAGGTCCTGGATAATTAGGGGACGGCTGGAAATGGGAGAAACTACTTCTCTTTCCCATTGTTCTGAAAATAAACTGAGCATTTTGGCACATTGAAGGAACTCCAACTGTGGTCTGTGCAGATTACAGCCAGAATGTAGGGTTTTCACTTCAGGTTGAGTGAGGGGATAATGAATGCTAATTTATAAATGAAGTAATTGAAAGAAAACGGTAAATGAGTAGTATGTCAGCTTCTTACAGGCCCCATGGCTTGTCTGCCATGTTACCCTGCAAAAACTCTGGCTGTAGTTAAAAGGATTTATGGAAAGCCTAGTTTGACTATGTTGATATGGGCTTCACAGTGCAAAATGGCTTGCAGAGGTCGTAAGGATTCTTTGTATTAATAATGGGGTTTATATTGGTGTAGTTTAACATTGGTGGGACTTCACATAGAAGTGTCATAAATGCTGCCATGATGGGTTGGTTTGACTTAGGTTCATCATGCACGTAGCATGGGGAATAAACAAGAGGAGGTAGAAACATGCCCACAGGACTGTGATCTTATTGGCATCACGGAGATGTGATGGGATGGCACCTGTGGCTGAAGTGTTGGAATGGAAGGATACTAGCTCGTTAGGAGGGAGAGACAGGGGAGATGAGGAGGGGCTGTCACCTTCTGTGTTAGTGACCAGCTGGAGTGCATGGAGCTCTGCCTGGGGATGGGCAAGGAGCCAACCAGGAGCTTATGCATCAGGATTAAAGGAAGGGCAGAGGTAGGTGACGTTGTAGTGGGGATCTGCTACAGACCACCTGACCAGAAAGACTGAGCAGATGAGGCCTTCAACTCACCGAGCAGATGGGACTTCAACCACGTTGTTACCTGTTGAAGGGATGACACAGGGCATAAATGATCCAGGAGGTTTCTGGAAAGCGTTGATGATAATTTCTTCTCCAAGTGATGGAGGAACCAATGAGGAGTAGTGCTCTGCTGGGCCTTGTTCTCAGCAACAAGGAGGGGCTAAGAAGCTCAAGGGCAGCCTTAGCTGCAGTGACCATGAAATGGTGGAGTTCAAGATCCTTAGAGCAGCAAGGTGAGTGCCCAGTAAGTTCCCTACCGTGGGTTTCAGGAGAGCAGACTTTGGCCTCTTCAAGGATCTGCTTGCTAGAGTACCATAGGATAAAGCCCTGGAGGGAAGAGGGGCCCAGGAAGGCTCGTTAATGTTCAGGGGTCACCTTCAAGCTAAGGAACAAAGGGGAGGTCAGGCAAAAATGCCAGGAGGCTTCTGTGGGTGAACGAGGAGCTCCTGCACAAACTCAAACACAAAAAGGAAACCTGTAGACCGTGGAAGCAAGGGCAGATAGCCTGGGAGGAAACAGAGAAATGATCTGAGCAGCCAAGGATCAACTCCGGAAAGCTCTAATAGAATTAAATCCGAGCGGGGATGTCAAGGGCAACAAGAAAAGCATCTGCAGGTACATCAGTGATAAAAGGAAGACTAGGGAAAGTGTGGACTCTTCTCTGGAAGGAAACGGGAGACTTGGCCTGCAGGAAAGGAGGCCTACAGGAAAGATGAGGGGACATTTTGCAAAGGTAATGGCTTTAAACTGAAAGAGGATAGATTTAAATGAGGTGTAATGAAGACATTCTTCATTATGAGGGTGGTGAGACACTGGAAGAGCTTGCCCAGAGAAGCTGTGGATGCCCCCATCCCTGGAAGTGTTGAAGACTGGGTTGAACGGGGCTTTGAGCAGCCTGGTCTGGTGGCAGATGTCCCTGCCCATGGCAGGGGGTTGGAACTAGATCATTAAGATCCCTGCCATCCCCAACCACTGTGTGATCACCTGCACAGACCTATAACTTATTTTCCCTATTTTCCTTTCCTGTCTTTACTCTTCCAAGATGTAAGTGTCTTTGCAGGTGTTTTCTGGCTGCTCTGGTGGTGGTGTTTTTTGCAGTTCGGTACAATGGAGCACTGTACTGGGAATTTTTTCTTAATATGTAATAGGATTTATACACACAACTTTGCATTTAGAATCTGCGGAAATAAGGGATGTTTGTGTCATTAATGGGAATGGGCTGAGCACATGCTGCCGCCTGCGTTGTTAGTTCTGTACTTTGAAGCGTGGATGCTGTGCTGTGCAGTCAGTGCGACTGTTTTACTGTCAGGTTTTGATGTATAGGCACAACTGTATTATTGGGCCAAGAGGTAAACCAAAACAGAGAAGCAAGGAAACCTCATTATGCAAACTCTTGTAGTTGCTTTTGTAAACATGAGCAAGACAGCTGCGTTCACGGTTGTATTTCACTGTCAGAACCGCACCATGCTTTTCCTCCCATAGGGTGTGTGAGGTTATTGCTTCCCATTTGCCACAAAATGGAAAATCCAGTGTAGAGACCTGCTGTTCAGAGGACATGAACGTATATTCCTCATAGCAGCTTCTATACAATTATTAAAACACATGTTGGAGTGGGCTTTACATGGTGTGATGTCAGCCTTGGAGTCCTGTGTTACTGTCATTTCCTTGTGCTCTGACCAAAGTGAGCATTCAGGGGAAAGTTGCTCCATGGGAGACAAGATCATTTACGCTGCTGAAGACCGATTTAAAGTAGTAAGAGGAAACAGTATTTTAAAGTTTTCTTATATTAAGGGATTCTTGTTTGGAATTGGCTAGGAATTAAAACTAATATTTTTCCTTCTAGGAATTATTCCTTCTACGTGCTTGACAACCACAATCTTCAGCAGCTGTGGGACTGGAACCATCATAACTTGACAATAAAGGAGGGGAAAATGTACTTTGCATTCAATCCTAAATTGTGTGTTTCTGAGATTTACCGTATGGAGGAGGTTTCAGGAACCAAAGGACGACAGAGCAAAGGGGATATAAATCCCAGGAACAATGGGGAGAGAGCCTCTTGTAAGTAAACAAACAAACAAAAATGCCTAGGAGGGTGTCACAAAAAAAACCCACAGAACCCAACAAACTTGCCACATTGCTGACCATTACAGTATTTAGAGTTTAGAAGTCACAGCAGGCTTCCAGTCATCCTGCTTCTTTGGTTTTTAAAATATATCTGTGAAAGTATGTTTGCATGTGTGGAAAAATTATGTGGTTACATAGCAGCTATCTCATCTGTAAAAACCAGTCAATGAAGATGACTGGTTCCGAATACCCTTCTTTTTTTTATGACAGCAGCATCATATAGCAATAGGAACTCACCTGGGAAATGAGAAATGAAATCTGGTATTTTGGTATATCTGGAGGGGAGCAGTTTTTCTTCTTCCTTTGCAAATACGTATCGTTATAGTTATTTTCCTCTCATAGGTATCTGCTCCTTCTTGATACTAAGGAGACTGCTGAATAGCAAATTTATCCATAGACACCGAAACAAACTGTTCTGTTGAAGCTATTTTTCAGCTTCTGCTCAGTCTTGTACGTTGTTGCTAGAAATGCTTGCTGCAAACTCAATTTTCTCTGCTTTGTTTTCAAACTATTTGCTTTTGAATTGAGAAGGCTATTTAGTGTTCTACAGTATTCCTAAACTTAAGTGTCTGTGCGTTTAATTTTGGACTCTTCGATGGTCAGAGTTGTTGTGAAGTCCTTCCTTGGCTTTGGTGGTCTGCACATCAGGTCTCCAGGTGTAACCAACACATTTAAAAAGCAGTCTCTCATCTAGGAATTAAGATGACAGAACGCTTACAAACTTGACCTCAAACTCTCAGCACTGACAGTGCATTTTTCTTCGGTCTATTTGTGGCATTCTTGGAGCTGAGTAAATTAAAATGGATCTTGTGTATAAGTCAAATCCCCTTGTTCTGGATGGTGTTTACAAAACTAGGACACGTACTCTGCTGAATGTCTCTTTAGGCGTGATGCATAAATGCAGATGGCACAGATCCTTGTTGTAAGCACACTCCATTCTTTGCACATTCAATAGAGCAAAGGCTCGCAGTCCTGGAGGAGTTTCAGACACACAGCCAGTCCTTACTACCACTGAGGCTAGTGCCAGCCGCTGCCTGTTTTTTTTTTAAAAAAAACATTACAGAAAGCTTTCTGACTCTGAGAAGGGGAGAAGAATCAACAAAAGCTAAACTGCCTTTGAAAAGATAGCACCAATAGTGCCAGTGTACATGAGGGTGAAAACCCCTTTATTTTCAGAGGCTTCCATGAATGTTAGAAACTAACACACAGTTGACACTTAGAACGTAATTTCTTCATCCAAGAATTAAGTTTTTAAAACGCTGTTTTGTTTCGGATTGGAAAGCTCACAGGATTGGTAGTGGGAAGCCATTCATTTCAAAGCTGGCAGCTCCAGCCAGCTCTGTTCAGAAGGGTAGCTGGAAGCTGCTGCCATCAAATGGTTGTGCCGTATATGAATTGAGTTTTGAAGTTCTTGGTCCAGCCTCTCATGAATAGGAATGTAAACTCCTTTGTGCTTTCCATGTTGTCCGTTGCTGAGAAAAACAAATTGTAGCTGTCAAAGTTGTCCTGGAAAGTGAGAACACAGAGGCCAGTTACTGCTCTGCACGTGCATTGGAGTTGGATGATGAATTTAGTGCTTCTGAACCAGTTCTGTGAATAAATGGGATTTCTAGTTCTCACTCAGGGAGAGTCTGAAGTAGTGTTCAAGAGCCTTCTGATGATGCATTACAACAAAATCTGCTTCAGAAAAAATAATGACAAGTAGCTCCGGCATATTTTAAAATGATTACCAAAGTCACTGTTTACCCTTAAGCACTCAAATGTAGTGGCATGAAATACAAAGCTCTACAAAGGGTGATGATACGCTGTGATATCATAGGCATTACTGGAAAGGCTGATTAGCTAAGACGGATACCTAAGAAAGAGCAAAGGCTAATAGGTGACGTGATGCTAATTCTGCTATGCCTTGTGCTTTTGTGTTGCAGGTGAAAGCCACATTCTGCATTTTGTTTCCAACACTACGCTCAAGAATCGGATTAAACTAACATGGGAACGGTATCGACCTCCGGATTATAGAGATCTCATTAGCTTCACTGTTTACTACAAAGAAGCGTAAGTAGATGTCGTCAGAGACTAATTGAGGCGAGAGATAATAGGCAATTCTATTCTGACTGTTGGATATCTCATCCAGTTTACATATTTCATGCTCAAGTCCTGCTTTTGTTCAAATTCTTTTGTTGGTGGAGCACAAGCATCCTTTAAAAGAGGATTGTTTTGATTGGAGCGTACCAATGGCTTCCATAAGTTTCAAATGTAAAAAAAAAAAAAAAAAAAAAAAAGAGATGGGTAGCTTGGGTGTTCTCAGGGTCTAATGTGTAGTTCTTTGTAAGTCCTGTCATGTTTACTGAGATCTTTTCCTTCTCTAGTCATAGTACTGACTAGAGAGCATCACAGAGCAGGAGATTGCCCTGTTGCTTTAATGAGCAGTGTTTGGGGTTATTTAGATTTTCCAGCTTTCTCAGTGCTGACGAGTCTTTAGTAATTAATAACAAGAGTAGTGGCTTATGCTCATCTGTAGTAATTTATAACAAGAGTGGTACTTTATATGCTCTTGAGCCAGTGTTGTAATTTACAGAAAGCAGAACTATATGACTGTGTAAGTGTGTTTGTATTGTGTGGAAATAAAAGAGGAAAAAACAGCCTTTTGGACTGGCCAAGATTAAGTTCCTTATGGTAAAAATCTTAGCTGCTATCAGTAGCTGGTTTGAATTGCTTCTGTTTCATATGTGCTTAGCTAAAGTCTGCATATGTCTGAAGCATTTCGCTGTCTGTTTTGGACAAAAGAATAAATTCACTGTTTTCCTGGAGAATTTTGCCTTATTGCTAATGAAAGAAGGTAAGACCTGCAGCTAAAGCTGACCTCTGAATTTTGTAGTGCTTGGAGATAAATACAGATTTTATTTTGCTGTGGAAAACAACGAAGCTTTATTTGTTTCATTGAACAACATCGAAGTGAGGCACTCTCATAAATGTGTGACACTTTTAAGGAGAAAATAAATAGTTTTGTGCTATTTTTTTCTCTTACTCTTTCAGACCATTCAAAAATGTCACAGAGTACGATGGGCAAGACGCATGTGGCTCCAATAGCTGGAACATGGTTGACGTTGACCTGCCACCGAACAAAGAGAACAATCCTGGAATTCTACTACAGGGATTGAAACCTTGGACTCAGTATGCCATTTATGTCAAGGCTGTTACCCTTACGATGATGGAAAACCATCATATTCATGGAGCAAAAAGTGAAATTGTGTATATACGAACCAATGCTGCAGGTGAGATCCTGGGCTCTTGGGTAAGAGGTCGATAACTGCCAGGTGTGCGTATCAAATTGTGCAAGTTCTGTTGTCAGTGCAGAAATTGAGTTTTTGTGCAGACGATTTGGATTCACTTCAAAAACTTGTATTGTAATAGATCTTAGAATGCTCTAGATTTAATTACCTTCCTTTTTTTTCTCCTCCAGTGCCATCCATTCCCTTGGATGTTATTTCAGCATCCAACTCCTCATCCCAACTCATTGTGAAATGGAATCCTCCTTCTCTTCCCAATGGCAACCTCTCGTACTACATCGTACGATGGCAGCAGCAACCTCAGGACAGTTACCTTTACAGACACAATTACTGCTCCAAAGGTAGGAAGACAAATGTGGTTGGGTTCAAGTGCCTGTGATTCTTACCTGCCAGTGCACAAGAGCTACAGCCTGTGCCCTGCTTCACAACTCTCTTGTCAGTATCAACAAGTAGAAGGGAACGTGGATTGTTGGTCTGTTCATAATATGAGTAGAAACAAGCCACCTCTATTCTTTTCTTTTAAGATAAAGTCCCAATTCGAAGATACGCTGATGGGACCATTGATACAGAAGAAGCTACTGAACCCACCAAGCCAGAGGGCTGTGGAGGGGAGAAAGGACCTTGTTGTGCTTGTCCCAAGACAGAGGCAGAAAAGCAAGCTGAGAAGGAGGAAGCAGAGTACCGGAAAGTCTTTGAGAACTTCCTTCACAACTCTATCTTTGTTCCCAGGTAATGGATTTTGGACACTTTCGCTTGGCAGATTTTGGCTAATAATTTCATTTTTTAACATTTCCTGGAGCTGAGGCTGCCTGGATGTGAAAGCGTAGGTAGCTAGCACCTCAACCACATAAACATTGCCTTTGCTTTTACATGAGACAATCCACAGCCTTACTTTGCAGTTTCTCTTATTCACTACGTTTCACATATTTCTATCGATTTTAGGTGGTAGTAAGGGTTCTTACCGATATTGTTCAAGGAATTTAGTGATGGTTTCTTTTCAGAGTCAAGAGTCACTTGAGGAGCTCTGTGTCTACAAGGGCTTTGGAGATGATCTACATGTGGCAGACAAGGGTTTCAAATGTGATCTTTCTCTAAATAGGCATTTCAAGTGCTTGTGTTCCTAATCTGAAGATTTCTTTGCCTCTGAAGTTGAATTGAACACCTTGTGGAACTGAAACGGATCTTCCTTTCTCACTGCTCTGATTGCAAAGGCGTATTGGTTTCCTGGGCCTGTGCTGCAGAGAAGTATTAAATATGCCTACTGGTCCAACATAAACACTACCGCTTACACATGAAGTGGAATACTAATGATTTTTTGCTGCACCATCGGGTAGATACTACTGAATTAATTGGTGATTTTTGATCCTTGAGTTTCAAATTTATCCTTCATGTAAGCTTGTCTTACTGTAGGTAGTTGGATCCTGTAGCCTAGCACGGAGCGTGTAGCGGTTGTGTCACAGTCTATAAGCAATTAGATTTCCATCGTGCAAGTTATTGTCTCTGTTGGTAGGTGAAGGTTATTGTGGAGTCCTGTATTTGAGAACTCTAGGGTGTGATATTGCTGCTCACTAAAACTGCTTTATATCACTCTCTATTGTGATTTTTTGGACCTTTATTCAGGGATTTGTTGGATTGATTTGTTCCAAGTTGGGACTGTGATACCTGCAGAGGTTCTTAGCTTTATCCAAAAAACGAGGAACTAAAGCTGCCTCTCTTTCAAAGTGCTAAGTGTTGTATCTGAGCTGAGTTTGAGTCATGTATAGAGTTTCTCGTTGAACTTGTGCAATGTTTCTCTACTGGTGATGAGAACCAGCAGCAAAGATGAGGTACAGAGGAGTAACAGCCCCCATGACTGTCCAGGAGCAGTGTGAAGATTTGTAATTGTGATCTGATATTGGACTTTATGAAATCACACAGCAAGGAGTTTTGAAAGGCATGTGTCAGATCTAAGCTACTTGGGCACCTGTTGCTGTTTCACCAAAGCTTTGTCATTTAAAATGGGTTATTTACTCCCAAATCTTCTTGCATTCCTCCCAAAGGAAACTCACAGAACCTTGAACTCAGACCGTAACAAACAAACTGATGAGTTCACAAAGAATTTCCTGAGAACTTGTCCGTTTCCCTTTTTTCTTAACTTACTGTCGTAAGGGTGTGTTTTGTAACAGCAAGGGCAGATAAGGTACAATGCTCAGAAAGAGCTGCATAGTTAAGCAACTTTAATTTTCCCGACATACAATCTCTTTAAAGATTATGAGCTAGTGAGACATGTCCATGGGACAAACCTAAGCAGCTTGTTATCTGCAGATTTTTATTTTTATTTTTTCTTCAGGGGAGAAGTCAATTAATTTTTTAATGCAAGCCTCAAAAGTAGTTTTTGTTTCCAGTTTTCTACCTGTCTCCAGGATATTATGAGAGAGATGCAGCATGTAATGCAATGTGAAAATAGTTGACTGGATGTTTCTAAGGTTGTTTAAAAAGCTGGTTGTTTTAATCTTGCTTGCAACTTCTGAATGAGCCCATGTGTATCACTGCAGTAGTGAAGTAGATTCAAACATTGGGACTCTGGTTAGTCTTGAAGAGATACTCGCAGCCACAGGAGGATGAGTTATTCTTCAGGGTTTTTTTGATTTTTAATGAGCAGGATGAGACAAAAGCTCTGTGTGTAGTAGAAGGTGTCTGAGAAGTAACATTAAAATTGCCATATGAGATCAGTTAGCTTGAATGTTAAATGACACTTTTCTTTTTAATTTCATTTCTTTTTTTATAGTGTCTTCTTTTTTCTCTTGCATTTCTCTTCCTTTCTCTCCTTTAACAGAATTAGATGGAACGTTTATGTTTTTTTCTCTAGATTTTTCCTTACTTCTTTTGATGCTTGCTTTTTTTCTTGATCTGTGCCTTTCATGAAAGCACAAAGCTGCCTGACCAGAAAGCAATGGAGTCCAGTCTCTTGATGTTTTAATCATGTTTGCCTTGTGGTTATCCTGCAGGTCTTTTTCTCTTCCCAATACAACTGTAGTTTTTCACCAACATGTTTTGTGTTGTTTTCTCTTTATCTTTTTCCCCAAAGGCAAGATAGGGCTGTACTTCCTTCCCCGACCCCACCAGATACCACCAAAGAGCTGAAACTTCATACGTCCTATAAAAGCAGTGATAAAGACGTGCCTGCTGGGTTCTTGCATTGGCACATGCTTTTGTGGTTGGTGGAAGATGAACTTCTTATTTTCACTCCTTTTATCACAAAATCTCTGCAAGTGCTCATCAGTTCAGCGCCAGGCATCCTGTGTGCTTTTAGTCGTTCAAAAGTTTATTCTTTCCACTGAGTTAAAGCAGTAAATGAATATGTGTCCTAAGCAAGGTGAAGAGATTTACTGACTTCCATAAATACCAGTGTAGAGGAGGCGTAAGTGCTTACATCTCCTATGAAATTCCCCGCTGACAAGTTAAGACATTCACTCGTATGTTGCTTAAAACAATTTATTGGTGACTTAGGAAGCTTTTTCCTTGTCTTCATTTATGTCTATGCTGTGGTTTGTGTGGCATCCCAGAGCAACAAAATGACGACTCAAGGCATAGTAAAAGGATTTTGGAAAATTTTGTTGTGAACTCCTAGAAGAAGTTTCATCCAACCTCTGCCAGAAGATTTCAAAACCAAGTCAGCCTGTTCTTGGCTCTCCCTGCAGCCTGCTGTTTTGTGGCTGAACATACTAAGACAGTATCTTTGACAGTGAATTAGCTTCTCCTGTTGAGTCATCTTTCTTCCTGTTGTGTGTTTGAGGGAGGCCTTATTTGCCTGGTTTGTAGCTCTCTGATTTAACCGTGTTAGACTTTGCTTTGTCCTTGATAAACAAGTGCTGAATGGGCACTGGCTAAGGATGTCAGGCGGGATAGGATTGAAGCCAAAACTGTTTCTGTTGTGTGACTCTTGTGCTGATGCTCAGCCCTGTCCACAGCAGTTTCTTAGACTTGAGAAGGTAGTAGTGTTGCTCTAAATCCTCAGCTTTTGAACTGCATAAATTTCATACAGATGCCTGTAAGGCGAAGCAGAGGTGCTTGGTGAGCTCTTTGCTATACGTAACATCAGTACTGCATTTTCTCATATAGGAAGAGTGTTCCTTTGCAGAGCTTTTATTTGAGTGAGAGAAACAGAGATACACAGATTATCACACGTTAGTGGTGGTTAGTGCATGGTCTTCCACTTCTTTCCACCGTTTCTGTTCTTAGTGCAATACATTCAAAGTTCTGTAATTTCATTGCAACCGGAAAGAAAGTTAAGCCTACTGAGAGTTACTAGCTTTGCTAATCCAACAAACTTCAAAACAGTATTTTCCCTAACCTCTTCAACCTTTAGCATCTGATTTTTATTTGAAGCATCAACATTACTGTCATTAAATACAAATCTAGGATGTTTTTTGGGTAACAGTGAAGCCATTTTTGCTGTTCAGTTTATTGTGTGGGGTCAGAAGTTTACATGTTTATCTTGGGGCACAGTGTGAGCTTCAGAGTTTTGATTGGTTTCTGACCAAAAGAGAGAGTAATGGGATGTGCTGACACGCTGCGACTTCAGCTCAAGAGCACACTTTCATCTTGTTCTGCAGTTTTCCTCCTTTAGCTTTTTTAATAGCGGAGTTACCTCTTTTACTGGGAGTGTTTTCACGGTTGTCCTGGAGCTGGAGCTAAAAAAATGGATCTTCTTTAAAAAGACTTTTTCTCTACTTGTGTGTTTGCTCCACAGACCCGATCGGAAGCGGAGGGACGTGTTCCGAGTCGCGAATGCCACTTTGGCCACTCGAAACAGGAACGCGACTGGGATGGATCACTTCACCAATATTTCTGACGCAGAGGAGAACGAGGTGGAGTACCCGTTCTTTGAGACCAAAGTGGATGGCAAGGAGAGAACTGTGATCTCCCATCTCCAGCCTTTTACTCTTTACCGCATCGATATTCACAGCTGCAACCACGAAGCGGACACACTCGGTTGTAGCGCTTCCAACTTCGTCTTTGCAAGAACCATGCCTTCAGGTATGCGCTCACAAATCTAAAGCGTCGTCTTATTTTCTGCAGAAAGATCAACCTCGGGAAGGAGAAACTCTCTGAAAACAGTTAGCAAGGTGTTGGGGTGTAATGATAGTTAAAAAAATTCTATACAAAATACTAAATTGGAGCTAGATAAAAGTTGGTTATAGTGGTTTAATGTCCTAGACTGGTCTCTTCTGTGTAGTGAGCATTGAAGTATTGGGTCTGTCCTCTGATCTGGAGAAAGGTAGAAGTGTGTGCACCGGCTACCAAGATAATTAGGAGAGAATCCGTTTCCCAGCGATAGAGGTGAGACCCACAGCCCTGGTTGGGTTAAAGGGTTTTATTCTTCAGTTGCTGAATGGAGACGGGGCAGCATTTCTCTGCTAATGTTTAGTTTTGCTGCCTTCACGCTGAACTGTTTGCAGATGTGAAGAGTTTTGCTGGTGGGAATGTTTGCCAAATGTTCCTTGTGTCACAGAATGACCACGCGTTTGTCCAGCCTGGAAACAGGAGGAGTACTGTGTTGTTTTGTAACCAGTCGCCGGCATCTCAAGTGATTCAAATAGGAAGCATTGAATGCCCTACTCGTTTTTGGGACTTTTACAGATTGTACTTCTTAGGAGAAGAATAGAGATGATTTTAGTGTAAGCTCATATGCATCCTGCAAAGAGCCCCTGACTCTGGCAGATGTCTGGGAATATTTGATACAGAAGGGTAGCAATTTTGTTTTGTTTCTCGAAGGAAGGGCTGTGATAATCCAGATCCAGCTGTGTCAGTTTAAAAAAAAAAAAAAGGCAAAAAGTATTGCTTATTTCAAGGAAATAAGGAAATCTGTGAGATCGGGGAAAAGGAAGTAAGTGTTCCCAGATTTTTAGCACATGACAGGCTAGACAATTGTTTTCTTCTCAACTTAACAACTGTACTTTTGAAAAAGTGATCTTTTATCTCTGACTGAGTCAGTCGTCATATATCTGTTAAGTTTTGAATAAAACATAAAATCATCAGGAATGAGACAGGAAGAAAACAATTCCTGAAGTGCTGATGAAACTCGGTTTTAAACTGCAACAGATTTCCTAAGACGGGATGTTTTAGGAAAGGGATGTTGGGGGGACACATCTTGTGCGTTTGCAGCCAGTTGGTGGGAATAGCTGCCTGCACCGTGCTGGCGTGGGGAAAACTTTGGAAGGAAGAACCAGGTGCTGATAAACAGGGTTTTTTTGGCACAGGGGCTGACACAAAGCACCCATACATGGTGAAACTGCCTGAGTACGCTGCACTGTCTTTGTGGCAACCAGCAGTTCAGACTCTGCTCATCTCTCCAACAGGCCCCTGGCCAGTGCGTTTCGTTTGCTGGATCTTTGAATAGCACTTACTGCGATGGTTTCATACCAACGAGTAGCACGAACCTTTGGTTTTCCTCAATTGTTGCCTAAGTTCCTGTTTCAGTAATAGGTGTTCTTCTCACGTTGCTTGTAAATATTTTACAGAGGGAGCAGATAACATTCCAGGAACGGTAGCATGGGAAGCAAAAGAAGAAAACACTGTCTACCTGAAGTGGTTAGAGCCTGCAAATCCAAACGGGCTGATACTAATGTATGAAATCAAATATGGGCAGCATGGAGAGGTGAGGATTTGGCATTTCTCTGTTAAGAGTTACTGCTTATAACACTTAATTTATGCACAAATTTGGATCTTTCTTTACGTGATTCTGTGCTGTGCTGCAGACCAAAGATGGAGATTGGGATTTCAAAGCACCCAGCACCAACCAGTATGCCGTTCCTTTGTTTCATTTATTTTGACAGGTTTTGAACTCCACAAATCTCCTTAAGGTGTTTAAAAAAACCCAACTGGTCAGATAGGGCTTTTAGTTATAAAAATCAACTTTTCCTGGAGCCATATTGTTCTCTCAAGGATGAAAGAATGTGAAGCTGGTAACATGAACTGCAAATCACTTTTTTCTTTTAGGAGAAGCGGGAATGTGTTTCCAGACAGGAATACAAGAAGCTTGGGGGAGCTAAACTAACTCACCTGAACCCTGGAAACTATTCTGCTAGAGTTCAGGCCACTTCGCTAGCTGGAAATGGGTCATGGACTGAGCCAGTCTCCTTCTATGTGCAGCCCAAATGTAAGATGAATGTCTCTTGGCTGTGTCAAACTGGGGGACTGTTGTATTTTTAATAATTCCTGATGTTTATGTACATAATTGGGCAGATTTGTTTTGTTGGGTTTTATTTTAAGATCAGTGTGCTTTTTCATATGACCTGTTCCAAGTGATATTTGGTAAAGATAACATCCTCATGGAAGAATAATGCTGATCCTGACAATAGCAGTAATTTATATTTTGGAAGATCACCCCTGTAGTGTCTGCAGAGACCCTCTCAAGAACTTTTGTATTTAGTTGTAGAGCATGAAAAACTGGAACTCCATCTTTTATTCTTTTTTGGTTCTCTAATTGCTGGACTTTGAAGAACCTGAAATAAAGACTGTGCATATTCTAAATATAAGTATTAAGTTATTGCAAGGTGAACAAAAGGTAGAAAAAGGATGGATATGCAAGTGAACAATTACATATTGTTCACTGAGGAATGTAAGTCCTTAAGCATAACTTGTGAAAACAAACCTCAGACAGACACTGTTCTGTACAAAATTAATGCTTTTCACTGTCTGTTTTCTTGTTCCACTCATCTGCAGTCAGGGAGTGTTTCTGAGTACATTTTTCCACATCAGACAAGAAAATGAGTACTTTGATTTCTTCCCTGTATGGAAATACACTGAGTGGGTTTTGAATGTTTCTTTGTTAATGGCGATTTTATAGAAACCCTGATGTAATTGTTTTTTTGTTGATTGCAGCAGCAAACTATGGAAACTTCCTGCACTTGATAATTGTGCTCCCTATTGCTTTCCTGCTCATCATTGGCGGGTTACTGGTAATGCTGTACGTCTTTAACAAAAAAAGGTGAGTCGTGTATGATTGTGGTTAAAATTGCAGGAGGGGAACATTTGTTTTCAAATCTGTGCCCGTGGAGCAAGTTAGAAATCAAAAAGGGAAATGGCATTCAGAGGACTTGAGAAGCTGAAGTAGATTCTGTCTTGTTGGTGTGTACCAGGCGGTGGTTTAGAGTTACCGGCAAGCGTCTGGCTGCTGTTTGAGATGTGAAAAGGCTTTTTATTACAGTATCATGTTTGAGAGGGAGGAGGGAGGCTTGTCAGGAGCTTACCCACTGAAACAACGATGGCAGACATTGAACCTATACAATCCGAAGATTTGTCTGAAATATGGGTCAGTATAAATTATGATAATTCAGTTATATTTAGGTTAATTTGATTTCTTGCAAATTCTAAAGGTTTTTTTGAAGTCTTTATATCCACTTAAAAAAATTACATCCTGGGCAGAGCAGTCCAGGGGACTGTTATACTGATTTGTTTGCCTCAGTTTTGTTTTCTTTAACTCAAGTGATTTATTTTCCTTTTATTTAATTGAAATGCATAATGAGAACTTAATAGAAGTCAGTGCAAATGTTCAGCCTTGCAACTTTCTAGGTACGGAGGTTTTTTATTACACTCATATAAATTATGCTCATTGAGTATCCCATTATTTCCAGCTCTAACTCATTTGTGTGCAGACAGTTCTCCTCAAGCACTCCAGAAGGGCTTTGAATTTAGTGAAGTACAATACCTGCTTGGCCTTCCCTTGGGCTCTCCTAGGTGAAATGCCTGATAACTCATTCTTTTTTAAACTGTTGTTCTAGCTCACAGGAATGTTTTGTCTTTGATTTCTGAGCTCTGATTGATACCGTTACTTCTACAGCCTGCCTCCTGCAAGAGCTCTCACAGTGCAGAATAAATGTGACTTACTCTGAAAACTGCCTCAGTAAACGTGGGGGGGAGGTGTGTTTTGTGGTTTTGAAATAAAATATTTGACACGCTTAGTTGAATGCAAAGCCCCATTAAAACAACCTTGTCCTTTGCTAGGTCACTTCTGTCCCACAGTAGGGCAGATGATGTTCGAGTAGGTTCTCAGCCACGGGTCTCCTGGGCCCTGTCACCATCCAGCTGCCTTTCTTAAAGGAAGTTTACCCAGCAGCTAAAAGTACCTTTTAAATAAAGTGTTTACGCTTTCTTGGTGCTGATTTGGTGTAGAGAAGACTGCGAGTTCCCTGGGAAAGCTATTCTGGATTGTTTTCCCATTGATGGTGTGAGGTAGAGTAAGAACTTGGTTTGTCCCTTTTGTCTGAAAAGCTCTTCACATACAGTAAGTAACATTCTGTGGCTGTGCAAACGGTGGAAAAGCTGTAGGAGAGGTTGTCTGAAGTTTACTTAGGTTTAAAGATTAAAAAAGAAAAATATATTTCAACAGGAACAGTGACAGACTGGGCAATGGAGTACTTTATGCTTCTGTGAACCCCGAGTACTTCAGTGCTTCAGATGGTAAGTGTGGCCTTACACTGTACTTCTGATGCCTTTGCTTTCATATGTTCTGTTTCTGTCTGGAAGGTATGAAATTCTAAAAGGGATGATGTAAAATTGCTTTCTCTCTCCATTTTACTAGCACAGCTATGGAATCCATCATTAATACTAACATGGATGTTGCCTGAAACATGGGAGTTTTTGAAATTTTTCCCATAGTTTATTCAGCTGAGGCAAATTTGAATGCATTAGTTTCACTTTCAGATTATCATTTACTCATCTAGTGATGTTTTCGTTGGAATGAAGGAAGATCCATGAATTTGTCGTTCATGTTTGCCCATTTTAGCCCTATTCTGACCTATCGGAACAACCCCACTGCTTGTTTCTACGTACTTCTCACATGGGAAATAATAACATTCCTTACTTCCCATCCCAATAAAACTGTCCAAGAATTTTTGATAGTTGGAGAAAGAGAAATACTGAGTTTGCAGACATATCACATGCAGAAATTTTATGTTAAAATGAGCGCAGGTGCTTAATGTAATCTGTATTTGTTTCTTTTAATATCTGAAGTGTAGATAAACCTATTTCTCTGTAGCTGGCAAAACAGTTTTTTAAAGCTAGTTTCAAGCTGACCTAATGTATTTGTGACTGATGTATGTATTTGGCAATGCAAATATTTAGAGGTATTAGACTATGGCAGTGTTTAGATTCCAGCTGGTGTATTTGTGTTGAGTGCTGTGCTAGCAGAGTGAAATAATGGCAATTCTCAAGTCAGATGTGGAGTTTTGGGAGGCATCTCTTATTTCTTTCAGTCTTCTGTGGGAGACACAATGTGGACAACGCTCAAGTGTTTAAAGTCATCCAGGAAATAAAAATTCTTTAAAACACAACAACTGCTGTTCCTAGAACAGAATGCTTATTTTGGTCTTGCTTTCTTCATGTCTGTATTATTTTCCTGTACTTCACTACCACAAGAGGTTGTGCCTGCTGATGGTGCAGATGAACTTCTTGCCAGTTCTTGTGTGGGCTGTCCCTGAGCAGCAGCAGGAGCTGAGGGAGCCTGGCAGTCCAGGGATCCTCAGCTCTGCTTGTCCAGAAAGCCCATGTCTGCAGTCGCTGTGGAATGGAGAGCCCTGGAAATTCAGCTTTCTGGCTAAATGAATCACTTTAATAAAATACAAAAACCAACTGTGTTCCTACTGGAACCTGACTTGCTAGATAATTAATTATCTCCCCCGCCTCCAACGAGGTGTGTTTGTCTGTAGCAAGCACGTGTTATTTGTACTGCACGGGTTATGTACGTGTGGAGCTCTTCAAGTGCAGGAGGAAATCAGAACATCAGACAAATTTCCTGGAGGCATCAGTTCTTCTGTTTACTGTTTAGTTTGGTGCTACCGCTGTACCTGTCTTGCCAGAACAGTGTTTCCCAAAGCCCACAGAAGGCTGATGGGTTTAGCCAGAGCGGCAGCAGACTATTTGACTGGTTTGGGGTTTTTTTTAGCAGCACCATTAGGGTTAAAGATCTGTCAGTGTTCATGCTATAATCCTCTATTTTTGCAACCTGTGATTTCACCCAACCAGAGCATGTGACACAACTGTCCCCTCCTTTGGTGACTGATAGGCAGCAGCATCAGTGACTGCTCCGATGCCTTCTTGCCTGAGGCAGTCCTCCCTCCTGGGAGGCACCTTCTGAGATGCCTCTTCTGCCTCAGATCAAAGGCTTACAGCAACAAGTTCTGCCTTTAGAGCTGCAACAGTGGGTGTGCAAGTGATCAGAATAGTTTCATGCAAAGAGCCTCTTAGATCAGAGAGTCTCTCCCTCTAGTCTTAAAATCAATCTGTTAATTGACAATACAGCAGATACTTGATCACCTGTATCAGTTTAGCATCTTTGATGGTGTCTGAAAGAATTAGAAAATGAAGGATCCTGAGAAAAGCTGAAGCCTGAAGTATTGATTCAAGCATCCTCCCACCGTGGTTTTGTGCTTTGAAGTTCCTTACTTCTTTCCCATTATGTCAGTACAATAGCGAGGCCACGTTCAAGTCCATCTACACAATTCTTTAGGATTTATTTGTAATGCCAAGCAGCTACCTCTCTCTGTATGGGCAAGACCGTGGACATTTGCATACAGTGTGTTAAGGTCTCAGCATTGTGTCTGGTATTTTTTGCAGTAGAACTGTTTGGGCGGTCGGTATCGTAAAGCGGAGAGTGATCACACCACTGGGAGAAGTGGAACGTCATGGCCTGTTCTTTCTGTCCTTAGTGTATGTTCCAGATGAATGGGAGGTGCCCCGGGAGAAGATCACCATGTGTCGGGAGCTTGGGCAAGGCTCCTTTGGAATGGTGTACGAGGGAATAGCCAAGGGGGTGGTGAAGGACGAGCCGGAGACCAGGGTGGCCATCAAGACTGTCAATGAGTCTGCAAGCATGCGTGAGAGGATAGAGTTCTTAAATGAAGCCTCGGTGATGAAGGAGTTCAATTGTCACCATGTGGTAAGTCATGAAAGTGTGACGAGGCTGTGGTTTGTACAGCCGTGAGGGCGTTCAGGGCACGTCTTCAATGACTGCAGCGGGAATTTGGGATTGAGTTCAAACTCTGCGCATCCTTGTAATATTGAAACAGCAGAGTGGATCAAAATCTACTTTCACACCTTTCTCACAGGTTCACCAGTGTTTGAAGCTACATATCAACATTAGTAAATGATGGCTGCAGGTCACTTTATCTGTGTCTGCGATGCTTGTTTTTCTTCTTCCAGGTTCGGCTGCTTGGTGTTGTTTCTCAGGGCCAGCCTACGCTGGTTATCATGGAGCTGATGACACGTGGGGACCTCAAAAGTTACCTGAGATCATTGAGGCCAGACACAGAGGTGAGTCATGAGTTGCTGGATGGTTTTTTATTTCTTCAGTTAGAATCATCTTGAATGAAACAGCGTCACGTTGGAAGCAGCAGACAATTAGCCTTTCTTGCCCTTTTCCTTAAGCTCTAAGGAAAAAAAAAGTGAGCGGCTCTGTGATCTGCAACACCTTTTTTCATGAGGTAGCTATTGCAAATAGCCCAGAGTGCTACGTGGGATAGGCCTGTTCTTGTGCTACTGAGTCCTGTTTTCCAGATTTGATTAAATCTCTTGTCTAATCTAATTTCTCATCAAGATGTTAAAAAATTGGCTAGCTGAAGCATGCATGTTAGGATAATTGTTTCATGTTGTTTATGCTGCCTGTTGCCACTGCTGGAAAGTAAAAATCTAATACCATAACTAATATGCGTGCTGTAATATGTAGGCTGTTGGTCTAACGGCTGAAATTGCCACATATAACACAGGGCTTGAAGGACAAAGATGACACATAGGTCACCTGGTGATGACATCAGAGTACACTGTGTAGAAAATGACCTTAGCGGCTTTTGCCCTTGATCTAGAAATTCTGATGTAAATAACTGAAAGGAAAAGACTGTGAGTGCAATGTGTGCACACGAGAATGGCTGCAGTATGAACAGACAGCACTGCAAGTGCCAAGAGCAGGTTGCTTAAGGGATTGGACACAGAAATCACTTAATGTCTTCTGGTTGCTTGTGAAGATGCTAGACTAGTAGAAATCTCTTAAAATAATCCCTCTGCTTTTTATCTCAGAACTTGGGTGGCAGAAAGATGGACATCTAAACTCTGTAGGTGTAAGAAAACATCCTCGTACCAAAAGCATTTCCGGATTGTATTCCCTAAAATAGAATGGGCTGTTATAAAAGAGCTGGGAGTTCTCTTTGTAACCCAGTTTGATACGACCGATTTTCCTACTAAGCATTATGCTGTGATGTACATAACCACGAGTTTCTGTTTAGCCTGGATCGTGTCAGGCTGAATTGCCATAGCGTAATTTCTTTTTTAAGAACTATTTTGCAGTTTGATGTAGAAATAGTTACTTTTTTCTTTCCCTTAACTGTTTTATCTCCTCAATCTTGCTCAGAATAATCCTGGCCAGGCACCTCCAACTCTGAAGAAGATGATTCAGATGGCAGGAGAGATTGCTGATGGGATGGCATACCTCAACGCCAACAAATTTGTTCACAGAGACCTTGCTGCGAGAAACTGCATGGTGGCAGAAGACTTCACAGTGAAAATTGGAGGTGCGCTTTCTTGACTTTTACCCAAATGCAAAATATCATCCTGAAAAATCAGCATCTCAGAAGGCGTTTTCTTTTTTTCTTTCCAAAAGCAGTGTGAAAGACATTTTAAAACTTAGTCCTAGTTCAAATTTCTGCAGAATGAAATATGTTTCTTATGAAGGCTTGCTGTGATTTAAGACCTGTGAGCAGTCGGCGTTGAGTTGAAACTCTTGGAATACCTCTGCTTGCTGTTGTTCCAGTGAGGAAATAGTACAGCACGTGGGTTTAAGAAGAGCTAGAGAAGCAGTGATTTGAGGTGCAGATGCTGCAGACATCTGGGTGGATGGCGTAGTTACCACTGGTGTGTCATTTGCTTTTCTGCTCAAAAACAATTCCACCTCCTGTTTATTGATTCAAGAGTAAGATCTACAGTATTATTGTAAAGCATATCTGATTTGGAAGTGGAGTGTAAGGCTTGACTTCAGCTGGATGCTTTCCAGTCTCAACTGGAGTTCTGCTTTCCAGACAACAGAATGGCTTTTCTTCTGCCCTGCTCTAAGCACAACAGTTGGGTTTTTTCCCTTCACCATCCCTCCAAAATAGCGTCAGATGAGTTTTTTCAGACTCCTCTCCAGAGAGAATGATTTTAAGCTTTTGGCTGTTTTCGAGTTGTGCATATTAAAATAACATGTATAGCAACAGCCTTCTGCTGTAGGAAACGAATTCTTTTTCTCTGAGCTTAACTCAGCTATTTTGATAATTTGTGTAAGTAATCCTGTCATTTGGGAGACAGAAAAAATGATTTCATTTTGAGTCAGTTAATTAGGAAATAAGATCTTTGGGGGATTTTGTGCATTTTCTGCAGGTTTGGTGGGAAGTCAGCCTGAATCCTTCCCATTCCAGTTTTCTCACTCCTCCTCCCCCCCACGAGCATGTTTTACAATTCTTTGAACTGAAGATGGTGCATTTCTTCCCTTTAACATGGTACATGGTTACCCTCAAAGCATTTTGTGAAGTGTTCTGCTCTGCTCTCATTTATGTACCCGTATGAAAATCCCTTCATGTTTAGGAAACAGTTTAGGAGCATCTTGACTGGAACACACACCTCAGTCTGCTTAGATCTCAGAGGAAGAGCTCCATGCTACACTGTCCTATGCTGGTTGCATATTTCTTATTTGCATTACATTTTTAAAGAATTTTCCGTTTAGGCAGCATTAAGTCACCCTGGAGTGTAGGAGTGATGGAATAGCTGCACGAATGGGGTTTTTGGTCATAATCACTGAGGGTACCAGTGTCCCTAGAAGACAAGGACTGAGAAGGATCAGTGGTCAGTCACTCACCCAAGCCTGATAATAATGACATCCATAGATTGGTAATAACAAGTGTCAGAACTGGAGGAATTCTGTCCTTTTCACTTCACTTACTGCAGAAAAAAGGGGCAACTACAGGTCTATACTGATAAGATGGATTTTGCCCTGGGTCTGCTGTGTTAGCAGACAGCATTTAATATGAGTAAGAGGCTTGATGCCACCTGAGTTATCAACTTTTCTGTTAGTGTCTTAAAACATAGTAACTAGTTTAGATAGTGTAGTCCAAGACCCAGCACTTCTCTGTGTGTCAAGCTGATGGTACAGAAAAAAAAAATCCTGGAATAAGTCTGAGTTACAGTCAGGAGATGAGCACTGTTAGATCCGAGTCTGGCAAATCCTTAGGTATTTACAGCTAAGGACGTGTGAGTAACCCAAAGAATGCCTTAATGTCGGTCTGTTGTTAGTTGTAAATTTGATCCTCTGTAGTGTTTGAGATGGATAGTTACACAGGAACTGCAAATTACCTTGGAGGGGGTGAAGAGAGAGAAGCGTTTCCCTCAATGTGTGAGATTTTGTTGGGAGGAAAGCTACCCCAGCCCTAAGGCAGCAGGTAAAGTGCCCACAAAGGAAGTTGTCGTGGTAACAGATCCCAGATTCTCTGCACCAAAGTGTCATTCTCCACTGGCTACACTGGCTTGTAGTAAGGGGAAATGTTCATCATTTTATCCTGCAAGCTCAAAACATTTATATCTTCTAGATTTTGGCATGACGAGAGATATCTACGAGACGGATTATTATCGTAAAGGAGGAAAAGGTTTGCTGCCTGTCCGCTGGATGTCCCCAGAATCACTGAAGGATGGAGTCTTCACAACGCACTCCGATGTCTGGTAACAAAAAAGGGGCTCTGAAAAACTATTAGAGCCTCTCTTCTGTCTTGTTTTGGTAGACTTAAATAAGTATAGTGGTTCTCCTGTCTCTTCAAAGGTAACTCTCTCTTTCCCACTGTGAAGCACTCTGCTTTGTCTTTCATATTTCCATTGCAAAATGAAGAATGCTGGAAGTTAAATTCGGCTCTCGTGGAGAGCAGAATTAAATGGATTTCCAAAACTGGAGGTGGCAGCATGTTTCCTGCTGTGGGTTGTAAAATCAGTTGTGCAGTAAAAAACATTACCTTCACCTGGAAGAGCAAGTTGTCATTTTTTCAGATTGCCCTTCTTCAAGAAAAGCATTAAAAATCGCCAAGAATATAGAAAGGTTCATAGTGCTGACCTGCTTTTCTATCAAAACCTGTGTAAATAACTCTACTTTCCTGCAGATGGTTTGTGTACACTAGCAGGTTTTTTCTTGGGAGTTCTCCCTTGTGAATATCCTTCTCCATTTGGAGCTTTGTTTGCTCGTTTAATATACTGCAAGATGCAGAAATAGTTTTTTCTTTCAAAGCACTTTGCCTGGTTGTTCTATCTGTGAAGTTATTAGGAGAGGCATTCAGGAAATTTCAAAATGTATTTCTTAAAAAGGGTGATACTCTGGAATGATTCCCCCTCCCCAACCTTGTGCAGGTAGGTGGGAAGGACTTGGCAGAAGATGAAAGTCTACTGGCAAAACCTCTACTCTCTCTTTTATGGTTTCTCTGCCTTCCTAACAAGATGTTTTTATTGCTGATCTGTTACAGAATTGGCAGCTGATCGCCTCTGAATGTCTAGAAGTCAGTAGAAATGGTATTTTAGTAAGCTGTATTTTCTTTAAACAGCTTGAGGATGTTGCACTCAGTGGACTGTAGTCCAAAGCACCAGCTTTGAGTGAAAGGTTCATAAGAGGAATTATGTAGCAAGTGAAAAAGCAAAGCTGCCAGAACGTTGCCTCATTTTTTTTGCATATGGCTAGTAACTTATTTATGAATCCAGTAACCCTCAAACTTGGAAATAGATGAAAATAACCACTTAGAGCTGAAGGGGAAGCCCTGTATCAGCCATTCATCTAACAGAACAGCACAGGCATGCTTTTGGCAGTCCCCCTGCAGTAAAACAATTTTGGGAATTGTAATGGCTTCATGAAACAGACAGAAATTTGGAATTTATCACTAGAAAATCCCCAGATGTAGAACTGAGCGAGCCTGGAGTGAAGAGCTGGCAGACCTGCCTGTTCTTCCACATGATAGTAACTTTTAAGTCCAGCCGTCATCTCGAGCCGTGGTATCGACTGAGGGTCGGGTGTTCAGCGTCAGTGACGTACGGCTTTCCTTTTAACCTGTAACTGAGAAGTGACATTATCGTTGACATGTAAGTCAAATTAAAAAAGCAAAATGCTGCAGATGTGATGCCAAATCAGGCGTTAGAAGTACCTCCCTTGTTGGGGGAAGTCCTGAGTTCTCCCTTCAACGTTAACAGGATTTGGCAATTCATCATTCAGTCCAAAGTGGGGTTGAGCAAACAGTGTGGCAGTTTATCAGCGGGGCAGTCTGAGCAAAATGTCCTAGCCACAAGTTACGTCAAGGAAAGTAGCCTACTGATAATGAGGTTGGAAAACTTAGGAGGGGGAGTAGACTCTTAACAGATTTTTACTTGAAAGCGTAGAGAGAGAAAAAACAAACGGTGTTTATGGAGAGGAGGCCCATGGCTCTCATCAGTATTTCGGACAGCTCCTCCTTGGGATGGTTTCTCATCTTAACTGTTAGAAGTGACCTACTCTGAAGTTTGGTTCACATGGATGTGCTATCTTGAGATACAGAGAGACGTGGTTCAGCATGAGGGAATATGCTGGTTGTTTAGAACACGTGTACATTTGTGTTTGCCACATGTTCCCACAGCTATAGATTCAGAAATTTCAGTCTGAATTCTAACTGTAAAGGAGCTTGACCTATCACTGTCATGAAATAGTGTCTCTTTACTTAGTCAGCTTATGGCTAAAAGAATCACTCTGGTTTACTGCTCAGTAACTTTTGGATGAAGGTCTCTTCATGCCAGTAAAAATTACTTTGCTCCTTGTATCAGTTCAGGTTCTGAAGTTGCTTCATGTAAACCATGTAGCTTGGCTGTTCTGGGGGCCGTTTATTTTCATCAAAAGGTAAAAGATGTTGAGATTGTTTTTCCTGCCTTTTTGGTAGGATATTGTAACCATCTGGTTCCATGTTCTTCGAGATCAGTTTTAAAAGCCAGAATGTCAAAAAGACAAAACTGTGCGAGTGGTCAGAGCCCAAGATTTATAAGCTGTAAGGTGAAACGGCGAACTGCGAAAAGAGTGTCTGGAGGTTTTGAAGGGTGGAGCTTTATTTTGGCAATTTATTCTTTTATTGCTCTTCAGACTGAAGAATGAGGTAATTAAACATGATTGGTTTTGTTGTAGTTAGAGAAGGAGAACCTTTCAAAAATTAATGCAATGCTGCTCAGGGTGAGGGTGTATTTCTATAAATAAGTCTGCAGCATCTTGTATTTTATCAGAGCTGGTAGTTGCCTCGAAAGACCAATGTAAGTTCATTCCTTACGATAATATGATTAAGCATATTAAGCAATACTTGTTCTCATTATTCCTGAAGTGATCAAAGTAGCTTCAAAGGCACCAAAATGTTGAGTTGACCCTCTGTCCCTGCCTCCCCTGAAAGGCAGACAATTGCAAGTCTGTTTGTGGCTTCTGGCTCCAGATGCAAACCATTTCAGATACAGTCGATAACTGAAAGATAAAACCACTCTGCCATAACTCCTGTTTTCACAACAATACGCTGTTGAAGCTCCATTTTTTCTCTCTAAGCTTGACTCAGCATTTTGGCCACAGAAGACAAAACAGAATCTAGGTTTTCTTTCTTTGCACAGCAGCTCTAAAATACACGACTCTTTGGTGCAGGGCAGACAATTTGAGCCGTGTCTGCTCAATAAACTAATTTTAAATTGAGATATTTTTGGAAAGTGTCAATACTTACGTCCAAACTACCCAATTATATAACTATGCTTGTCTTTCTTCACCAATAATCAATTCCTATTATTAGACAGACTTCTTTTTTCACTTCTGCTGTCCTTTGTAGTGGGTTGGAAGGAGCTGGAAGCTCCATTTCAAGAACGTAGTTACATCCGTGTTACAGAAGGGGTAACTTAGTTTCTCCTGGGGGTTTAAATGTTTTGCTGCTGAAGCAGCAAATTAAGATAGAAGCAGCTGGAGAACATTCACATTTCTTCCCTGTCTTTTTCAAGAATTGATTTTTTTCCTTGCTGCTGTATGTCAAATACCTTGATCTTGCTTTGCACCTTTGTGGAAGAAAGCAAAGCGAGGGGATAGATGGAAAGTATTACCCGAGAAGTGGTTTTGTGTGTGGAGAACCGAGGTTGGTTGGTTTGCTTGCTTTTAGTGCCGAGGCGGATGAGGTGCCCAGGCGTGGTGCTGTGCGTTTCTGGCCAACTCTCAGCTTGCCTGAGCGTTAAGGGGAAAAATGCAGCTTTTAAATCGGATTTGTGTGACTTGAGCATTTCTCGTGGAAAGCCGCTTGCCCTGGAATGAGAGCATACAGTTCTGTGTTAGTGCCTTCTCAGCTGCTGTCAGGAGCTCATGAAAGATGTTATGTGAAGATTTTGAGTTTATTTTTTTTATGTACAGATTTTTTTCTTGCTATCTCTGAGACTGAGTTGGGGGTGGGTTGCCTAGGTCACTTTAAATAACTGGTCTCTGCAACTGATTCCCTGCATCCTGCCACACACCGATCTTTTTACAGACTTTAACTCTATGTCCAGCCTGAGGTCCTCTGTACAGGAAGCACAGGGATGGGAACAGATTTTTTTTTATTATTTTTTTAAACTATTATTTCCTTATCGGCATCCTTCCTTTTCCCCTCTCCACTGTTCTTCCCGCCTTGCAGTGAACCTGAAAGTCGTGGGAAAGGGAGATGAGATGTGAGCTGGTTCTCCAGGCTTAAATCTTCTCTGAGTTAGGAGACTCCTGGTCAATGCAGTGAGCTTGTGGTGGCTTTTTTTATTGATTGACTAGTATAGAGCCAGTGTAATCAAGTAATATTGGACCACTGAGTGATCATAGTCACAACGAGCTCCGAGATGTAGATTATCTGAAAATGGTGATGCAGTATTATGAAGTCTTTTCTGACAGAGACTGTTCTGAAGAGTCACTGAGAACTGGGAGCCCATTTCTCACCATTTACTGGAGGTGTTTGAATCAGCAGTCCCTTGTGCTGGGTGATGTGGCTACCACCATAGCTGCATACTTTTTGAGCAGTTGGAGTTTTTTATTGACAGAAAATAACTTGTGGATACCTACTTGCTCAGCATCATCCGAGAAGAATAGCCTGCTAAAGATTGCTCAGCTTTCTAAAGTTCTCGTTTGTTTTCCAGGTCTTTCGGTGTTGTACTATGGGAGATTGCGACGTTAGCGGAGCAGCCGTACCAAGGCATGACCAATGAACAAGTGCTCCGCTTTGTGATGGAAGGAGGTCTGCTGGAAAAGCCAGACAATTGTCCCGATATGCTGTAAGTGGCAACAGTTCTGCTGTTCTCAGTGCCCTGTTCCTTCTTCCTGATGCACTGCAGTGTCTGCTTCTGCCCCGTCTACCACAGAAGGGTTATTAAACAGTGGTAGTAGTGTGAGGTGCTGCTTGAAACAGTCTCTGTCAATCTGGTATTTGATGGTAGTTAGATAGCCCAGAAAACAGCTTTGCTTGGGATCAGAATCTCACCTTGAGCTGTCTCCTCAAAGAAGAAAACAAACCCCAATCTTTGTGTTTCTGAAGAAAATTAGGCTTAATAAAAGATAAATTTACTACAGTGGAAGACTTTGTGCCTAAATCTTGTCTCTTCTGCTGGAAGTAATTCCGTCGAGCATAAAGTGAACAGAGCCTAGGAGAGCTGAAATGGATTGTGTGTAAACTCTGGGGAACTCGACTTTTTAGTTGAGCCCACAGATAAATGAAGGTATCGTCCCGTTGTGTGCAGCAGCGTTGGATCTGCTCTTTCAGTAACAGCGCTCATCGCAGTGAGATAAGCAGATCCCCCCTGCTAACAGTTTCCTGTGAGCACAGACAGAAGTACACAGGGAAACCTTTGCCTGCCCCGGGAATCAGTACAAAGCCGTGCGGCAGGAGAGGGTGTGCAGCACAGCGGGCTTCAGTTTTTAGCTTTACGTTAGTGAAATACTTCTGCCGGCTTTTGTGTACAGCAGTTTCAGTTGTTCAGACTTCATTACTTTGATGTACTTCCCAAACTGGCTTTTGGGAAGGAAATACTGCATCTTGCAGTTATTGAAGTTTGTTGGAGGCCCACAGAAGGGATACAATCACTTAAGGGCCTCAGCTGCTTGGGATTCTTAGGAAAAGAGCTTTTTTGGCTGGAGTGCCGGCCTTGGTTTCGGATGACAGGCAGTGTTGTTTTGTTGTTCAAGGGGGGTGGGTGGTGTATGCAGGGGGAGGTGTAGCTGCCATGTGATTCCTCAGTTTCACATTCTTTCCCTTCCACGATGCTGCGGAGAATTTCTGGCAGGCAGATCGACTGGAGATTGTTTAACACGGGCAGAGCTGTGTAACGGAGGAGGGGAGCAGGCAGAAATGGGGGAAGAACAGGGTGTGTGGAGGGGTCAGCCCCCCGAGTCCGTAGGAAAAATCCCCCTCCACGGTGAGAACAAACTCCGCAAGAGATGCAGCGCTAGAAATTCCCCAGGAACCTGGGGCATGTGTGGTATGAACAGGAGGTTAGGAGGGGAGTCATGGCAAGAAACTCTCTTTACTGGAGTCCTCCCAGCCCGTTCTCCTTCCTCGTCATCCTCAGAGACACTCCTCTGCTTGCTGGGTGTTGCTACTGGATGAATCTACTTTCAGGGTAGCAGCTGGCTTGCGAGATGGGAGAATTTGGTTAACGTCTGGCAGAGCAAATCTTTGCACCAGTGTATGATGGCAAAGGCCTTTTTCGGGCTGATGTTAATGAAGAAGCTGTTCACACATTAGTTATGGCCACCAGAATGTTACCTTACGTTGCAGAGGTGCAGAATAATAATAAAAAAATCTACCTTTGAATTAGCTACTTCTCTCCATCAGAGCAAGGAGCAGAGCTGAACTTGGAACTAGGACACATCATCCAGTTTAGTGGTGGCTTTTTTTTTTTTTTCAGTCAGATAGTTGTGTATAAAACATACTGATTCCATCCAAAGTGAAAAAATAAAAATAAAAATTGACATATTGGCCACAGAATCTTACTGTGCCTTGCTTTAGCTCCCTTTCACCTTGTTTTGTCTTTGTATTAGGAGGGAAACCCAAGTCTGCTGAAGTTCAAGTAAATTGTTATACAAATAACAGTAGGGAGCTTCAGGAATAGCCTTCACCTTGTTCCATGCGTGTGCATTTGGCTATCAAAGAGCCTGTTTTGCGTTAATATGGTGCTTTTTTTCTCTGCGTGTTTTCCCTTCTTTCCCCTGGCTTCCATCCCGTGTCCCCGAGATGCTGTAAGGTGCGGTGAAGTCCTCCAGAACCTGCCAGGTCTTGAGCCTGGCG